AAGATTTAACTGGAAAGTTAGGTTCTTCAGAAGAAAGAGAAGTGGCTTTAGTCGTTGCCACACTCATGTCATTCCTTTCCATGGTAGTGCAGATGTGTTGCTGATAAAGGGCATCACAGGCAGTATAAAGAAATCCAATCTGTGGGAACTAACATTTACAAAAGGCTGTCCAGTGACCAAACAGGGTAATGTACGGAGAGGAAGAAAACTTTGTGATCATGACCTCAAGCTCAGCAGAAGAGGAGAGCAAGTTCTGGTGTTTCATGGCTTTTGTTCTTCATAGGAAATGGGTTTAAATGGCAGGTTAGCAGCTAAGCTAAATACAGCCAGTGATGACCTGAGTGATGGGAAGTAAATAAACAAGCTTCTATTTGTGCAGGTTTGCTGCTATGTGGCACAATTCTATGTGCTTGGGCTTAATGGCCGAAGGTAGCTCGGAGCATGACTTGGCATTACTTCTCTTTGATGAAATACTAAATATGAAAGAGAAGTTCTTGGCACAACTTTATTTCCTCTTTTTGAGCCACTGTAAGCATGTTTCCGGATATTCCTTAACCCCCACTACCTCTGACTCCAACTTTGCCAATTTTCTGGTAAGCTTTCCATGGAAATAAGGTTTTTATCATTGTAAGCGGTTTACTGTAAATCTTAACTGCAGTTTAAGGATGTATTCCCACACTGTGTAATCAGCTTTTGAACTTTCTGAAAGGAGAACAGGGATGAAATACTGTAAATATTTGAGAAAATATTAAACTGATGAAAAGCTTTCAATTTATCAAATGTTGTTGCTGCTTTGTTACTTTAACCTTAAGCACACAGAAATCCATGTCTCACCACTGTCTGCTAGAACTCTTTGTTCCCTAAAATGAATCGACCTATTCTCTTCTTTCTTCTTTATGGGCTGTAGTATCTCTGTTGGTGTGGGTTAGACTAACAGAGAAAGTGAATGGATGGAAAAAATGCCTATGTTTGTTTTGCTGGTGGATTTACACACATTTTACAATCCAGTAGAAGATGCTATCATTTCAAGCTTTCTTTGTGTAGCTTTTTTAGTTCAGTGCTCCTTGTTTTAGCTTTAGCTCTCCTGTAAATATATCTACAATTAATAAGTCAAATAGTATTATTGCTAGAATTCAGATAAAATTAAACAACTCCCACTAACTCTAAATATAAATGACCCTAATATAGCCATGACAACAAAATGGACCGACAATTTTTGCTATACTGTACAATTATTGGAGTGACACATTTTATGACATTTTGGGTTTTTATTACAAATAATTGTTTTTGTTAATAATAAGCTTTTAAACTGTAAATAACAGCTAGAAGCTGATTCACAAATCTTTACATTCAAGGCAACTTATCACTAACATGTCGCATAAGATCAATCAATATCTTAGACTCCAATGTGGATGTCTTCAAAATATCTATGTTTACTGAACTTTAAATATATAAAGTTCACTAAAACCTGCTTTAGTGAGGTTTTATACCAAGGGACAACGGCTACTACAGCAGTGGAAGAATGCATACCGGCAGACTGACTGGAAGGTGAATAACACAAAGGATGTTGAACTACAAAGAAATTAGAATCCAAGTGGACAAGACTAACAATGATCAAAGAGAAATAAATCCAAACACACAAGACTAACCTAAGAAACTGAAGACAAAGGACTAGTATAGCTACCATTCAAACAATAATAAACACAAAGATCCAAACTAAATACAAAAATACCTACAGAACTTAAATAAATCACAACACAACCGAAAGATCAAAACACACTGAACTCTAATTAGTTGAGCCACAGTAACAAAAATACACAAAAATTAGACCAAAGACAATGTAATAATTTCGAACTGTCCTAAACTGTCAATATTTGCTTCCAAAATTTGAAGTTGACTTTTTTATGTTTAACCTCAGTTAAGGCTGAGGTCAAGAGTTAAGGTGAACATATGACTGGTAGCTACGTTTTTTTTAATTATGTGCTCCATTTTACCAGATTTTACCGGCTACTGTCAGCCCACAACTATCCATACTAATTAACCTACTGACTGCAGAGAGGGGCAGCATTGACTTCAGAAGACAAATAACGCTTCAGTTCTGTTTAGTAACTTCAGCTTTTGCGCTTAAAAACATTCTAACGACACTGACTCGTCAAAAAGCTAGAGTATGTTGAAAGTACAGAATGCTACCCTTCTCATCATCCATTGGATACACAATCTCTTCTGCAACAGGCCATAGGCCATGAAAATACAAACAACATTGTTAACAATTTTCTGCAACACCCAAGAATGCCAAGGGTGCGTCCTCTCCTGTAAACAAACGACTACCAGAGTTTACTGCCCATCTACGCCTACTACAAATATGCAGCCATAGCAGAACAACTCACAAACTAGAAAATTCCTGAAGAAATTTAACCGGGGCCTGCCGAAGTGTGCCCGTCGGTTTGGACCCAGCGTTCTGATGCTAAACATTAGCATCCATGCTAAAGAAAGCTGCAATGTCATCAATAGCATGTGGATAGTCACAAGCATGAATTATTGAACATGGGTAATAAGTAAAGGAAACAGCTAATACCTCATTTAAGGTAAAAGGCTAATGCTAATGCTCTGCCTTGAAATTTTAATTCAACTTAATTTAAAATTACCACACTAATCCTGTGTGTAACAATGGTTGGATGAAATCAGTTATAAAATGCCCAAAACACAAGTAGTTCTAAAGGCCAACACCTTCCTCAGATCTCTGCCATAATAAAAACTACAGTGATGCGTATTTGTAGTCCTAACCACTGGCCCTGCTGTGCTCCATTGCTATGGTAATGGATCCTCCAGCTGTGAGTCAGACAGGGGGAGACATAATTCTATCAGTTTGAGGCAGCCATTTTCACTAAAATAGGCATGAGCCAGAAAGGAATCTTAAGGCTTTTATTTTGAAATTTTCATTAAACTTCATTTTAAATGTCCAAAATAATCCAAAGTTTAACAGTGGTTTTGTTTAAAAAGTCACATAATTCCCAAGACAGCATTTACGTGATATAAAAAATATTTTATTTTTATTTAGAAATTTTTATTAAGCTTAATTTAAAATTGCCACACTAATCCTGTGTGTAACAATGGTTACTTAAAATCAGTTATAAAAAGTCCAAACACAATGTAATTCTAAATCCCAGCTCATTTATCCTCAGTAGTAACTGACAGTTCCGCCATGTTGTAGTTCTGACAATTTGCTCAGACCTCCTCTGTAGGCACAGAGTGTTCCGCCATGTTGTAGTTCTAACCTGCAGTCATTGTTGTTGTAAGGAGAAGGTCAACTGTCATGTCAGTGTGACACACAAGGAGAGACTTAATTCTAATTGCTTGTTAGTTTTTCTGAAAGGCCTGAGAGAAATATTCAGCTTTTATTTTGAAATTTTCATTAAGCTTAATGCTAAATTGACATACTAATCCCATGTGTAGCAAAGGTTGGTTAAAATCAGTTATAAAATGCCCAAAACACAAGTAGTTCTACAGGCCAGCTCCTTCCTCAGAGTTCTGCCACAGTAAAAACTACAGTGATGCGTTTGTAGTTCTAATTAGCTGCTCGGCCCTGCTGTGCTTCGTTGCTATGGTAAAATTAATCCTCTGCAACCGTCGTGTGTGAGACAGAAAGATTCTATCTTTGTGAGACACCCAGTCAGTTTTGACTGAAAAAAGCGGTCCAAACAACTGCTTCCCATTCGGAAACCGTGATACATATCGGAAAACCGTTTGAAGCGTATGAGAGCGCTATCTTTCGTCTCCGATAGTCCCGCTATTCATATCTGTACATCACTCACATTAATAACAGCGACGAGATAAAAATGGTGTGCGCTGAGGTCTGACATTTTTCAGAAATACATGGAAGTGAACCTGGCTGAGCGAGAGGAAATTCTGTCGCATCACTTCGCTCTGAAGCCCCTAGACAGAAAACCGTAAGCCCTAGAAGAATTTTGAAAACATTTTACCGGAGCAGGCATGCGTATCTATTTCATGACCGAGTTCATACCGATAGGGCGATATTTGTGGGCGTGACCGCGATTTCAAAATTTATTTGGGTCAGAATCGCAGTGCTTCCCACACTCTAACGAATCGTTGATTACACTCTAGTTTGGGCAGTTTCTAACTGACAAGAATTTTTGATGGTTTTTCGCTTTTACTTTTTTATCGTAACTCCGAATCCCACCAAAAGTAATAGCACCCCTCCCGGCGCCGAGCCGCACGATTTGATACCACTTTTGTGGGTGGGCTCGCAGCGGTACGAGCCGCATTCCGGTTGACGGAAGAAAAAAAAAAAATAAATAAATAAATAAATAAATAAATAAATAAATAAATAAATAAATAAATAAATAAATAAATAAATAAATAAAGAGACACTCTATTGGGTGTAGATTAATAGGTGCCTGCCATGCAATGCAAGGAGGCAGTTACTGACTTGTTTTGCAAGTCAGTAACTGCTCTCCTTATGCATTGCTAGGCAGGCCCCAACAATAGTTTCATTGCAGCTTACATGAAGATTTTGCCCTGGGGTGTTCTGGGGTTCTTATTACTACCTCCAACTCAACATTGACTCAACAAAAGAACTGGCTGTACACGTTAAACGTACCCCTTGGACTCAATGACAGACTGGTTGACCACATTCATGGTCAACCAGTCTGGACCGTCCTCTGAACTGGTCCTTCACTCCCACTGGATAGATACCGAACCCTAGACCAGAATTCTGGCTCTAACAGACCTATTAGTATGCCTTTACAAAGCCCACCAATCATTCACTGATTCCCTGTGTTAATTGCACCAGTTTGAGCTCCTTACCTGTTCAACCAGTCAGACTTAAACCTCTCCATCATTACTTATCAGCTGGATGCATACTGATGTATGCAGACTGCTCGCATTTCTACTCCAAAAAAACAAAAAAAAAAAAAAAAAACGTCGCCGCCCACCTCCAACTTCCAGCCTCCAGAGCTTCTTATGCCTTCCCCCTTAAAAGAAGTTGGAAGAGAAAGCGAACTTGCGCTGCTCTCTCTCGCTCTCTCTTTTTGTTTAACTCTTTATTTAAACGGGCAGCTTGGAAACCGAACGTGAGTCTGTCGTGAGAAATTCAAGGCCTTTATTGACACTGAGCGGCACGAGGAGGGGATAAGAACGAAGACAAGCCGCGTTAAACTATCAACAGGATGTTTCAGAGCTCGGAGTTCGTCGTTTTCATTTGTCTGTTTCTTGGGGCCAAAACCACAACAGGTAAGAGGACTCTTACATACGCCATAATGTGGGGCTAAAGTTTGGTGATGTTATAGTCTTATTCTGTTGAGTCTTTGAACTATTTTCACGGTTTTCTGTTTCCCTAAAGTGACGTCATGTCAGCTCTGGCATTAATTCCCGGATGAACTTGGGGAAATAGGAACTGGATCACAGGCTTATTGTGTTTAAAGGGAACCGACATAAACAACTATCATAAAAAAAGTTTTAGACCTCGTTACATGGTTTTAAAAAGCTGAAGTGGTCACTTTGGAGTAGAATATCTTACTTCCTAAAAAAAAAAAAAAAAAAAAGAGTATGACACAAACATCTGTTGGCTGTGAGGCAGGAATTTTGCTCTTCCTCTGTTATTTTCCCCTCCCATCATTGGCTAAACTTAGCCGTGATATTTACCAGGATGTTTTATCCTGAGTCTGTGAGGGAATGCTTTAGATGTAGCTTCCTGGAAGTTTTTTTTTCTTCTTAAATTTATTAGAAAAAAATAAAATAAAATGATGGGAAGACAATGGGTTCATCTTTGATAACCACATTTGTGTCTGTTGTCTGTTTTCACTTTCAGAGCAGATTTTGCCTCCCCAAAACTTGTCCCTGCATTGGATAAATGAGTTCACCCCAGAGCTGACGTGGGAGCCGCCGCCGCACTCCATGGCAAACTGCTACTATGATGGAAAGATCAAAATGAACCACAAAGAGGCACTAAAATTAGTAAGTCAGCAAAAGTGTTTACAAGAAAACATCTTTTAAAAAATTATGAGTTTCATGCATTAAACTGTACAACCGAACATTAGGGGTTATGATGCTGCAATGTAAACACAAAGCTGTAAACATATTAGCAGAGTGAAAATGCAATTCTTAGATTATGTGAACATCAAAAAACTTTTTTGATTTTCTTTATTTACAATGGCGTTCTATTGTATTTTAATCTTTGGACCTTTATCAATTTCGTCCATTGTCTAAACCAGGGGTGCTCAAGTCCAGTCCTCAAGAGCTACCATCCTGCAACTATCAGATGCATCCCTGTTCCAACACATCTGAATCAAATGAATGGCTCGTTCCAGGCCTGTTCATAGCTGAGCCTGGTCTACTGGAGTAAGGCTGCAACTAAAAGTTGCAGGACGGTAGCTCTCGAGGACTGGACTTGAGCACCCCTGGTCTAAACCCATTAATTCTTTCGGGGTCGTGCAAAATTAAATGTGCTTTATTGGGATTGTATGTGACCGACCCAGTTTATCTGAAAGGAAGCGTGGTTTTGTCTTGACAGCGTTTGCCTTTTTTTCAATACGTTTTATTTCACACACATCTACACACACATATTTTTGTAGATTTGTCTTTAAATCTTTATGCTAGTTTGTCTGCTAGGCTGCTTTAATATGAGAATATGTTTCAGTCATTGGAGTCCTGGCTCTATGCTTTAAGCAGAAGAATACTTTTTCTGTAGTAAACAATTATTTTTAGTAATCAAATATTCTATCAATTATTCTGATGACTAATCAAGCATGACGAACATTTTGATCAAATAAGATCTTGATAAATACTGCCAGAACAGCAGTATTAATATTGGATATCAATACTGGCCAAAGTTTTCTTATTTGTGTATCTCTAACAATTACTTTTCTGTAGCTTAGAAAATTAGCCCGTAACAATGGCTTGTTTTGTTTAAGTCAACTTGGGCTAAAATGACTCAAAAATCAGTTTTTATATTCAATTTAAGATTAAAAATAAAAATGATAAAGCAATAAAAGTGCTTACAAAGACACTATGAAAAAGTTTATACTCCAGTTTCCTTTCCAATAGATTCATTTCTATTGGCTGCAAAATTGCCCAGACTGGAATTACAGAATTAAATTTGCTTAATGGAAGCTCTGTAACTTGAAAAAAAAAAGATGTTTGCACCAAGATAAGGTGGTTGTTGGGTCGCATTAAAATGTGTGTCTCACAAAACTGCAATGGAAGCACTTTTTTTGCATCACACATGTCACTTCAGTTTGTATGCAGCAGCAAAGCGCATGTTTGTATATCTTTGCCTCTTTGGATAAAGGGCGGTTGACTCCATAGCATCGTACAGTTTATCATTTGAAATAGTTGAATCCATTGCTCTTGTGTATGTTGCTATTGCTACAGAAAAACTGACATGACTTGCACGATGTCAGAACAGTGTTTTCGTTGCAGTTCACACAAATTTCAATGTGGCTAACAAGTCCCCTCATCCTTGCGTAAAAACTTTCTAATCAAAGTGAAATTGTCACTTTTCCTTTAAGCAAATTTATTTTCGTAATTCCAATTTACACATTTTTATGGTTGATGGAAACAGAGCGAGTGGGTAAGAGTGTGCAACAGGGTTTTTTGAGTCACCTGAGGAAGAAAAATTTTTGCTGAACCTTCTTCACTAGGTTAGTGACCTCTTCAAATAAGTGAAGATTTGAAGATCTCACATCTTCACTGATGTGAAGAACCAGGAACTTAATGGAACCAACCTTTTCCACTTCATATCTTTGCGACAAGTCGTTTGGATCACCTAATGGACAACTGTAATAAACATACACTCCATTGTGAGATTTTCAAAGCTAATGATGTTACTTTACTTGTTAAATCTGCCTTAAACGTTTCCACATTTTTACCCCTGACCTGTATGGTGTGTTTCCACTGCCCAAACTAGTGGGCTGTGACCAGGCTCTTTGTTTTTGTGGACCACATTTTATCCAACTGGGATTATTCCTTCTGGATTGATGCCTGTTTATGTCTGCGGCTGTATTTAAGGTGATTGTCTCTGTTTTGATAGGAGCCTATCAAAAGCAAGTCTACATCTTTTAGTGATGGCCCGCTGTCCATGGAGGGAGGACTTCTAAGTTACTCTTTGGAAACAGTTTGTCACGGTAACCGAAGTGAGCCAGCAGTTTTGAATATATCTAACCCAGGTAGGACATTTATGCTCAATACAACGCATTACTACAGAGGGTAAATGCATTGGTTTATAACAATTTCTTCAACATGTGTCTCAGATCTGGTGAAGTCGCCGGATTTCTACATAACTACTGCTAAACGAGGCCACTGCTCCTGGTCCCCCGTCAGGACAACTCCAGAGCTGCGTTTCTTCTATCTGTAAGTCTGTGTGTGCAATAAATATTTTTTGATCGAACATTTTGCAAAGTGTAGGCTTGCAACACTTCCTCATTCATACTGAACTGCTTTGGTTGCATCACAGCCAGACTGAGCCTCCCCTCCACAAAAAAGTAAGATGATAAACTTTTGCAGAGGCTAATATGGTAGCTAGCTTTGTTGTTCAGTAAAAACCAGCCCTGCAAAAACCCAAAATCTCCCAAGTATTTTTGGTCTAGTTTCTACTGCAAATGTCTTTGTACATTTGAAAAAAGACCAAACTGACTTACAAGTAACTTTTTATCAGGAAATAGGAACTGATTTTAAGTCTATATAACATTATAACAAGACATTTTTCCCATATTACAAATTAAATAATTTTCTTGTGAACTGGTTAATTTTTATTAATATGAACTAATTATTGACTTAAACTCTTATTTCTTGCTGAAACATTACTTGCAAGTCTTATTATTATTATTATTATTATTATTATTATTATTATTATTATTATTTCTTCAAATGTACTAAAATATTAGTACTAGAATCTTACCAAAAATACTTGGTAAGATTTTGTGTTTTTACATGCGAACACAAGAATATTCTACTAGTAAAGTTGACATAAAAAAAATAAGTATTCTTGTCTAGCTAAAGATTGATTTCAGTGAGTTCATTCTGACAAGGTTTTCAGGGCCTTTAGAAGAGAAGCGGGTTCACAGCATCATACATCCTCCACCATATGCGAATGGAGTTCTGTGCAGGTATGAGGGGGAAGCATTTTTTATCTGTAAAAATTTCTTAACGCCATGAATCCATCATATCAGAATAAAGTAGTTTAAAGTTTACAATTTCTGGTAACTGCATGCAGATTTTGACATCTGAGTGAAAGAAGGAGTATGTCCTTTGTTCAAGGTGAATTTTTATTGTATTTTTTTAATTGAACCCAATTATCCAAACATACTATGCTGTCCCATATCATTTTGGTGGGGGGTACATCCCACATTACAGGCGTGTGCTACCCACCTGGCATCATGCAAATCCACAAAGCAACCCCAAAAAAACTTCTTCAGCTGCCTGTAACGCTGCAGCTGGGAAACGCACACATAAAGGCAAAAAATTATGCAAATGTAACGTCACGGTGAACTGAAAGAGCAGTTCTAAATATCAACCAGGGCTGTAAACTAAAGGCCACAAGCCACACCAATTCAAGAGTTATGTGCTTCACAAAAAAATTCCAGCATGTTTTGTTCAAATAGCATAAGTGATGACTTCCTTTTAATGTGGAAAAAAAAAGCCAATCTTCTGCCTTGATCGGGGGGGGGGATGCCATTTAGAATGGTTCCCCTTTATTGATCTAGACGGAGAAAAACAGGCTCTATCTGTGTTTGCTTTCTCAGAAATATTAATTGTCATTGTTGTTATGTATGTGTATGTTTAAATTTTGATCTTTGAAGAAAACCTGAATGGTTGACTAAACAGCTTTAGACATTTGAAAGCTGGTTCCAATATGATCGAAACATCTAAATTAATAATCAAATGTCTGTAGCATCAAGACCAGAAGAGTCTGTTTGTTCTGAGATACAGTCCACGTCTCTGACTGGTGATGTGTAAACTAATAAAGAGATAAAAATGGAGATTTCTTCGTTAATTGGTAAGTGCTCGCTTTCACATGCTAATATAATTGCCAGATGCAGACAAGCAAACATGTTGGATGATGGATCCGATAATAGGATTCGATTCCCCACACCAAATATAACTTGAGTATTTTTCCTTTTCTCTGAAGATGAGGACATTTAACAGGACCCTCATTTTTAAGACTTTTGTTCCAAATGGTGGTTCTACGACGCGGCTGTAGATGTTGGTCCTTCTATAAGCCGACAGCTGCACCATTATCACCAAGAGCAGTTGAAGGGGGCACAACCTTTTACATTTGCTTGCCAGGCTCCTTTATTCCCTGCCGGTTACATTTAGCAGTGACGACACCTTGCATTTAAATCAGTCCTGAAGGATCAGATGTCCGCTCTCCATGCAAATAAAAAGGCAACCGAAAAGCACAGGCTTCTGTCGAGTGACATCTGGGCACCTAAGTCTAGTGTTGTTTCTGTACTACTGCAAAATCTTCAGGTGGAGAGCTCAGTTATGTGGCCTAATGGAATGCAAGAAGCTTGAATCTCTAAAAATAAACTTTTCAGAAAAAAATAATCCTTCTTCCTAATGTAAAATTATTCTGTTTTTGATGCTGTTTGTGGGACAGTTCAAAATGAAACGCACGTGAAGGGTGATCAGCGGAGTTCATGTGCACAAAAAACCTATAGCAGATAAGCTGACTAGTTAAACCATGTGTACAATGAGAAGCTCATAATACCCTTTAATTGTTGATTATATTTATAAACTCAAAATATAAGAAGCTTTTATCAAAAGCGGAAGTTGCAGCTTACTGGACATTGCTCAAGTTCAGTGACTAAGACTGAGGAAAACACACTGCTTACCCCTAAGTGCTTTTCACGTTCCGGTGTGAGTAATGTTGAGTAAATACACCGTTTACGTTGCCTTTAGCAAGATAAAGTTGACTTCAGCTTGTGTTGAACCTGACCTTTCTGTTGTTCTGCTGGTTTAGCCAGAATAGCTGTTGGTTGTTGCAAACCCTATAGTTGCAGTTCTTTGCCTCAGGGAAGCAGGAATCCAGACGCAATAGCTTCTTAAGAAACCTGCGGCACACCTCTCCTGTCGGAGCAGGACAACTGAGTCAATGTGAATTCCTGTATGATTGATTTGTTCTGTTTAATTAGTGCCAATTGCAGTTGAATTTAAAGGTGTGTTCGTAGAGTCATCTGTTGGCAGGAGTTTTTATGGATTGTTAACTCCAAAACTATTTGTAAGAAATTTGCGAATTTTTAAATATTCCAAAGAAAAGGGAGCTTGAGAAGCTGAAACACTTAGCCATCATGCTACTTAAAGCTCCAATATGTAACATTAATAACAAACGTGACTTTTAATATCTCTTAATACTGTTAGCATGTTGTGATTCCCCACACCATGATTCATGACGCAGATCATCTGTGAAAAGATGAAGTTCCTCCCTGAGCTACTATTCTCTTCTGAACAAACGAAGCGCCCCTGACCAAAAACAACCAATTAGGGGGAGGAGGCAGGTCTTACTGCAGTCAATCAACGTCGTGAACGCCCTGGTAAATGTGTAATGGCGAAGAAACAACTCGCTATTACAGGAAAGCTGTTTATGGATGGCCATGCTAACTAGCATTAGCATTCACGACCTGCTTTGATTGGTTGTTTCACTGGGAGAAAACAGAGGAGCTCAAAAAATTTTTTTGCAAGTTATCAGTCTTATGCTAGACTGTTACAACCTAGTGGCAATTTCAACTAACATATATATATATATATATATAATATATATATATATATATATATATATATATATATATATATATATATATATATATATATATATCCATCCATTCCATCTGCTTGGAGTCTTTCTCATTCCTTCTGAAGAAGTTTTTGCGGTTTGTTGTGTCACTGATTAAAATGTTTTCTGTATAACCCATCCTTCATGTCATATTCTGAGTTTCTTCCAGCCTTCACAGAGGAGTTGTAAATTGCCATCGCAAGACTTTTGTCACTAATTGAGTTAGCCAGATTTAAAGAGGCTAAATGTTTTGGATTGGAGGATGAGACAGTTCTGGCTGCACCATCTCTTTTAGCTCACATGTCCCCTCATTTTCTCACATTACAGTCTCACGCGTGTGTTTCCCTTGGAATTTCTAGTGCAGCACCCATAAGGACATGACAGTACTAGAGCCATGCTAACAAAAAAAAATTAATTACGAGAATAAAGTCATAGTTTTATGAGAATTAAGTCATAAGAGAAGAAATTGATATTGCAAGAATAAAGTATAGTTGTCCTCTTATTATTTCAACTTTATACTATATACTCATATTATTTTGACTTTTTTTGTAGTATTGTGACTTTATTCTAGCACAACTTCATTCTGGGAATGCTATGACTTTATTCTCACATTTGTACAATGTCATTTCATCTTATGTGATTTTTGACATTCTTTGACGCATGAAAGTAATTGTTTATTTCTCACCACCTTTTGTTTCAAGATTGAACGATCAAAACTCTGAAGAACCTTCAACAGAGATACTACAGGAATGCTCATCGTACACTTACACTGATGGTGTGAAGTCTGGCTGTGATTTGAATGCAACGACAGAGATGAGCATTATGATGCTGTTTAATGCAACAGTGAACAACAAAGTTGTTCGGAACACCTTCAATAGGAAGAAATTAAAAGGTTAGTGAAACTGGTTGTTCCATTTTGCTCCCCCTGTTTATTTTGTTTATTATATTCTAATTATGCCAGAATGTGTGATGTAAAAAGTAATAATTCTTTGAAAAACCTGAAAAGCTTTACTATGTTGTTAATCCCTTCCATATGATTTTTTTTGTTTGTTTTGTTGTTGTTGTTGTTTTTGCCTGCAAAGTAAAACCAGCTGCCCCTGAATGGACAGTCAAAAAAAATAAGAGCAATTTCACCATCAGCTGGACTCCTCCAGACATGCTAGGATTAAATTCATGGACATTCACAATAAATTATACCGAATGTGAAAAAGAGGTAAGACATTAAACACATGTTGTACTGAAATTCTATTCAAGAGTCAAAGCAGTAATGGCTTGTTTGTACATACATAGTATCACATTTATTTTTTTCAAATGAAAAAAAATAAATGGGCCAGTTGCTGACTTTAAGTCATTTAGTGTCAGTATGAATCCTGTTAGTTACTCGGTACTGTTCTCATGGTTTCAATGTTCTACATACATACAATTTCCTAAAAAGAAAAAAAAATAGAAAAAAAAACATGTGAAATTCCTTCTGTTGGTTCCCAGAATCTACAATTCTTGGAGATTCTTGGACTAATATCTCAGCTTCTGTTGCACAACGTTCCGTGAAACTGCATCAAACTGTTGTAGTACTATGACTAAATCAAATCTAGCGTATGTTTGGTTGCGAGCTTGACATAATCTTTTTTTAAAGAACGTTGGAACCCCCAGGGACTTTATCCGACACTACAATTGACATTTATTTGTCTGCTTTTAACAGGAACAAAGGTCTGTAAAAGGATCTTCCCACGTGCTGCTGCGGACGCCTTCCTGTCAGTACTGTATGAAGATTCAAGCCAAGAGCAAATATGGGGACTCGCCTCCTTCTGATGAGAAGTGTTTTGGTACAGTTGTATTTCTTTCTTTTTTTTATCATTTTGTTTTTATTATTATTATTTATTATTCTGAAGGGATCTTCCATCATTTATTTCACCTCTACAGCCCAATCTGCAAACTCAAATCATTAGCTCTTATAATGAGCTTGTTTTTAGCTCATTATAACTCACCATAACTCACCTTTTTATCTTTATAGTTTGTGTTTAAACTTTCTCACAAAATCAAATGTACTCAAAGTTTGCCAGTAATCATCAGATATCCCTTCATTATGTTTGCTGACTGATCATCCTGATGCATTTATTTACAGATCCTGATCCGAGTTCTTTCTCTGTGTACATCGTCATCGTTGCCCTGTTAGTTACTCTGGCATCTATCTTCATTGTGTGTTTGCTGAGGTAAGACTTTTTTTTAATTTTTTTTTTATTTCACAGTGCCTCGCAAAACTAATCACACCCCTCAGATTGTTAAAAATGTCACATGTCAACCATAGTATCAATGTACTTCAGTGGGATTTTGTTTTTACTGGCCAACACAAAGTAAAGCATAGATGTGTGTGTTGAGTTTGCAATTGTAGAACATTTTTAATTTTTTTTAACTGTTGTTGTAAGTCTTGGAGATTTTGGCTTATTCTGCTCTACAATATAGTAATTAAATTTAACTTTGTTCAATTCTATTAAAAAATATTTATTCCAAAAGGTAATTAAATGTTGTAACTCATTTCATCCAAATATTCTCAGAGAGTCGTTGTAGATTTATCACTGAACATCCTTGCTTGACATGCTACTGAATCAATTTCCAGGCAGCACCAGCTGCGTTTTCATTACAAATGTGCACAAAACCTTGTCAATATTCTACCAATGTAAACCCCCCCCCCAAAGAAACACAATTTCGCAGTTGTGGTGTTTCCACTAATGCAGTTAAAATCACACGTGAATGAACTTGTTCACGCAGTAATTCATTTAAAAACCTGCTTCGCCATCTTTCTCCTCCTACATCCTGTTGTCTTCTTGCGTAAACTACTAGAGTGGCAATATCCAGTTGTGAATAGTGCGACTCATGTGACGCCAAAAAAGTGTTTCCATTGCAGTTTTATGAAACACATCAATTTTGATACGGCGAAAAAAAGCCAACCCAATTCTAGAGGAAAAATCTTTTATCGACAAATTAGGTTTTTTTCTTTTCTTAAAATTTATTTTCAAAATGTCAGATTGTGTAGTTATATGGTCAATAATATGTTCTGTATGACATCATCACTGCTTAAATCTGTCTGGCTGCATGATTAGGAACGTGGAGATGTTGGAGTAGGGAAATCACGACAAAGCAGGCTGAATTCAAATGCACACCACACTTTTTTCTTTTTTTTACCTATATGATGGTCCATTCCGTAAAATCCCAATGAACTACAACAACTACATTGAATTTGTGAATTTAATGTGGAAAAATTGAAGAAAGAAGAAACTTGGGCATCATGGTTGGCTCTATTCTTCCCTTTGAAACAAAGTTCTTTCTGTACAGGAATAAGAAGCATATCTTCCCCAAAATACCAGTCCCTTCGAACTTCTTCAAAGATGTTCTCGAAAACAACAATGAGGTAAAAAGAAGAAAGGGCAAGTGGGTATTGCACTTGCGTGGAAAGTGTTACTAATTCTTGCGTTATTCTGTGTGTTTGGGACACCGTTACCCCTACCAGCACTATTTCAGGAAGCATTTGGTATATTTGGTCTAACACTTTCTTCTTTCGGGTACCTCTTCCTTCTCTCAGAGTTTTTTTCGCAAGTTGTATGTCCCGACAGAGGAACAAGAGAACTGTACTGTCACGGTGGTGAAAGATGCGCAGACCATCAAACCAGACTGTTGAAACTCCTTCGCTGTCAGCGCACACTTCCTCTGAAGCAAGGAACCCTGATTCTGAGTCCATTTTTATGAGAATTAGCAAAAAAATAATCTCAGGTGACTGTAGATTGAAAGGCCAAACTTTTTGATGTTGATGCAGCAGAAAAAAATCGACTGCTGTTTCTGAACAGATCCACTCAGCTGCTGCTTGTTTTCACGGAAATGCCTGAGATTCTGTCGCTTTGCACTAAACAGTCACTGAACTGTGAGTCAGGACCTTTCCTGGGAGTTCCTACTCAGCCACAGCTGTATGAGATGCAGACTGAAAGAGATTCTCTATTTATCCCCAGCTGATTACTTCTTGAGGTGTTTTGTTATTTTATAACACCTTTGGTTTCCATGTGCAACTGAGTCACACCATGATCATTTGTAGATGGAATTTCTGTTTTTGAAGAGTTCCCAGGCTAGAAGCCAACAATGTGCCACAAATTCTCCTATTATTTCTACCTACTCTGTACTGTCTTTTTTACATGAGGGATGCTGTACTGTATGCCCTCTTTGTGTAAAGATTTTTCCTTTTGAGTTGCACGTATGAAATTAATTTGAGTTAGTACTACCAAAGAGTGTTGGTGCCAGCTTATTGGTAGGTTTATCATGGTTTTGTCATCCAGGCGGTTCCCTTGTTTTTCCCAGCAATGACCTCATCACCTCTGTTCACTTAAAACTTATACGTTCAAGTTACTGCCAAATTACCAAATATTTCAATATTTACATTTTCTTCAACTACTTCTTACCAAAAGTATAACGCAACTGAAATCTTAAAAAAAAGTGTTTATTTAACCTCCAGAACAAAATAATTTAGTTTTTATGGCACTAAATTATTTGGGCAACAGCAGTAGCAGTTCACCCTGCAATCGGTAAGTTGCTGGTTCAATTCCCAGTCTGTCTGCCCTTGTTGTTTGTGTCCCTGGACAGACGCTTCAGTACCTTACCTGATGGTGGCTTGATTGCTATTATCAGAGTGTAAATGAGCTGATGATACAATATTTTATCTCTGTATTGGAAAAATGAAGATGTATAAAATGGATTATTATATTATTAGTTGCCAAGCAAACTTATCTTTTTTTTTTTTTTTTTTACTAGCTTTAAGTCTTCCAAAGACCAACCCTCTTCTGCCTCCCCTAATGTCTGAAACTGTTACTTTCCTTGTTTTCCAGTTTGGAGACATTTTCTGTGTATTTTTGATGACATACTGTGTGTGTTTGGTCAGTGGAGCTGTTTGTAAATGCCTTAAAACTCAGTTTGGTTTCTTTTACAACTGGAATATGTATATTTACACATACACACACACAGAAAAAAAAACTGGGTGTATTTGTTTTAAAGTAAAGCCTTATATGTATTTTTATATCTTTTCTATGATCAAGCTGATCTCAACAGAGGAATGATTGTATTTGTTTTATGGAGTGCTTTGAAGAAACGCGGCTCTCATTAGTTACATTGTGAATATGCATTGGTAACAGAAACAACCTTCCTTATCCACCCTCTATCCCCACCCACCCTCAACAATGTAGTCACAGCAAGAAAGCTCTAGTTTACGGTTATGTTTTTGTTTTTGTCTCCTGTCTAGGTTATTTCTTTTTAGCTATGCTAATTAAGTAGCCGCTAGCTGTATCAGACCATGTTCCACACCAATTTAAAAGTATGTTTCCACAACTTTGCAAGAATGTGATTTTTTTATTTTATTTTTTTTTTATTTTAAAATTTTAAAAATGCAAAATAAATGTCCTTTGTCTGAAGCTGCATTTAGTTTGGTTAATTTCTGGTGTCTCATTTTAAAAATAATTTTTACTGGTAACTCTTTTGCTGATTTTTTTATTTTTTTTTTTTAAAGAAGTATTGTTCACTCTTGAATAGACAGTTACAAACATGAAGAAAGCATACACACATGTTAGTGTCCCTTTGTTAATCAGGAGCATTAAAATGGCTTGAAACAAAATGGAAAAGTACAGAAAATTATCTAATGAAAATTAGACATAGTTTCTGAATTGTTTCTGGGTTTTTTTTTAATGAACAGGTCTGGAGAAATATGATTTTTATTGTTACTATCATTATGATAATCTTTTTTTCTTTTTTTTTTTTTTGTCAATTTCAAGTTATTTCAGTGGCCATCATAGGCTTCTGGTTATCTACTGAAGTTTACCAATAATGTTGTTTATGTGTGTAAATGTTGGCAGAGACTAAACATGTCAGCTAATCATCAGAACTTTGAGGTTCACAGTTGGAGGTTTTCCTCACCAGCCAGTCATCATCTTCTGCTTTAGCTGAAAATTATAAAGAAACAAAAAAAAAGAAACGTTCCAACTATTAAATTCCACTGAAACTATTTAGCAATTTCACTTCTGCAAGTTGTGCCATAAGCACATTAACTCTTTGGTCTGAAGGGAACTATGTGAAGGTGGATCAGGTCTTCAGTATTTGAGTGTTGGTCTCAGCCGAACGTAAAACCGACCCAGGAGCCATTTCTGTTCTTCTCAAGAAAAAGTTTTACAAAACAAAAGCAGATCATGTCAGAAACTCCTGAATGTCTTAAAATAAAGGAAGTATACAAAATGTCAGCATTTTCTGATGTTCAAGGGACTTTCCAGAAGGAAAAGAACAAGATTTCTGTGAGAAATGACATGACTAAAAGTAGCATTTTTACAAAGAAGGACAACCTGTTTTGGAATTGTTCCTTATTTTGTCAGAACGTTGAATTAGACTACTGCAAAGTTAAAAGGAGAGCAAAACTACATTTTGACTTGGGGAAAATATCAGAAGCTAACTTGTATCTTGAATTAGTTGTGAGAAACTTTCTATGACTGCTTCATCGGTGCTCAGTCTGCACAACAGAAGAGCTTTGAGCTGGTGATGTTTAAGTGTAGCAGTCTTTGATCATCTGTGGTTTGACTGTAATGTGTTTTAGAATGACAGAAGCACATTTTTAGAAAAGCAAGGTCAAAGCCAAGGCCAAGACCTAAAGCTGCTCAAATTTTAACTGTAGCAGTCTTGGACTCAGCTTAAATGTTCTAATCTAGTCTTTCAAAAGAACTAAGCTTCAATTTGGGTTGAATTGGTGTTGTAGGCGTTTCCCAACTATGATGCTGTCATCCTCATGTATCAGTGTTGATACAGTGTAATAGTTGGTAGTTTGCACTACAAATTTGTTTCTTAATAAACGGGAGTGAAACCCTTTTACTAAGTTTCATGTTGTATTAGCATCTCATTAAAAGCCCAAAATTATCAGCCACAATCTGCACTGCAAGGACTTTATAACTCTGCTGTACATCCAGTCCAGATAAAGATCAGCAACTGTACTTTTCTGCCAGGATCAGAAATAATATGGGAGGTAAGGAAGGTGGTTCTGATGCAATGCTGGAGCAATCAGCGCCTCCTTTCTGTGACAAGTCAGAAATAAAATGCACCTAAAAAAATGTACTTGTTTGCAAAATATTTGGCCTCTTTATAACTCCTCTGAAGAAAATTTCTCACCAGTTATTGCTGTGTTTCATAGAGTTACCGTTTACATGATTCTCCCAGGGTTTTTTTTTTTACCTGGAAACCTGTATTGTATTTATCCCTCAGATAAATATTGTACAATCCAACGAAATCCCCATTGTGGCAGTGTGAGGTTTCCAAAAATACTTTGAATTCAGGCACTTAGATACAAAGCTTCCTTTTAAGAGACGTTCGAAACAAAAGTTTTGCTTATGTTAAATAGATTTAGAATTTTACTTTCTTGACTCAAACGCCTAACTTTCTGTTTCACATTGACACATTGACTCGCTTGATTACTGACAAGTAGGGCTGCAGCTCCCTCTGGTGGCCAATCTTAGCAGTGCAAATATGTCGGCTAAAAATGGTCCTGATGCTGAGGGGATGCAGAGTTCGGCGAGGATGCTATGAATCTAACTCGTGTTGAATGCGTGATCGGCTGGCGCAGTCTCTGTGGCGCAATGGAATAGCGCGCTGGACTTCTAATCCAGAGGCTCCGGGTTCGAGTCCCGGCAGAGATGGGTCACTCTGTATGCCAACATGGCAGGTCTGCGATTGTTTTTCAATCACATCTATTCTCTGACAAAAATGACATCTTGTAATGATGCTTTTCATGGTATTTGATCTCCAGCGGAAGCAACACACATAATGACTGGGTATAAGTACACTCGCGAAACTCATTTTTTTTTCTGCAAGGAACTGGTTCAGTCTATTTCTTCTCGTTGTCTCTGGAAAAAAAAAGTGTGTATGTCATTCACACATATACACACAGTCTTTCTTATAATATGTATGGAATTTATGTCTGTCTTCCTGTCTGCTGATTTTAAGATGGCATCATTTTGTGATCTACTAAAAAGAAGAAAAAAACCCACAACATCCTGCTGTAAGAAATTACATTTTCCCAATAAAATGTAGTCATGTCACAAGAAATATGTTTTAATTAATTTTATGTTTTTACTCCATCCCTTGAAGGCTTGAAAGGTGGATGGATATAGTAGTTCCCTTTAACTGAAGGGCTCACGTTTTAAAACAGGTTTACTCCCGGCGCATCTCTTGTCAGATCTCTTTATGTGACAGTGGGTTTCCGCAGCCTGTGGATCCGGCCGTTCCTGGAGCAGATCTGACATTTCTTCGGATGGCAGCAGCGACGCTAGAGGGCGCTCCTGCACCAGTGCCCGAGAGAAAGAGAGAGCGCCTCATCGCGGAGACCCGCTGAGCCGTGACAGCTCCTCTTTCAGGGGACTCCATCAGGACAGCCTACATTATATGACAGGAATGAGGACAAGGCCTGTCCGTCATGTGCTCGCGCCGTTTCATCACATTGACGTCACCGTGCTAAATAGTCAACGTCAGTTTGAATGAGAGAGGTGCATTTCTTTTGTTTCTACGCCTGCTATACCGGCGTTGAACTCTCACTTCAGTTCACCTACAACAGAGCATTTCTACGTATTTTAATCCGGTTAATCTTAATCCATGATGATGTCATGGTCAAAGGTTACACTGGACACTGAACAGTGTGATGTCAAAGCACACAGATAGTTTATGAACGCATCTATTACTTATTAGTGAACATTTTTTTTAAGTGTACCCACTTTATTTTAAGGACTCCAGGGGGGGAAAGCTAGTGTGTGTACGCGCGCGCGTGTGTGTGGAAGGAAAAGGAATGCGCCGCTAAAGAGAATATGACGTCAAGTCAGAAAAAAACGAATACGACACACGAAGCAGAACGTGGTCATGTCATTCAGTGAACTTTTATTTCACTCATCTTAATAAATAAAAAAAATGAATACATAAAATACAAATAAAAATGAAAACATTTCAATAGCCTATTTATATTTATTTTTGATTGACGAGGGAAAAATAGCAGGCTGTTGAATTTAAATAATCCCACAAAAAAGGTCTGATAATTTAATTTACATTTGAAAAAAAAATCAACATCAACTTTATTTTTTTATTATACTTTTTTATTTATATTTTTGTATTAAATGTGTACTTGTTGGCTACACAGTTGGTAGCACTGTTTCCTTGCAGCAAAAAGGTCCTGGGTTTGATTAAACCCAGGGGTCTTTCTGGAGTTTGCATGTTCTCCTCTGGTTTCTTCCCAGAGTCCAAAAACATGACTGTCAGGTTAATTGTGTGTGTGTGTGTGTGTGTGTGTGTGTGTGTGTGTGTGTGTGTGTGTGTGTGTGTGTGTGTGTGTGTGTGTGTGTGTGTGTGTGTGTGCATGGTTGTTGGTCCCTGTCTGTCGCCCGGAACGCAGCTGGAGATAGACACCAGCACCCCTACTGACCCCATTAGGGATATTTGTACTCCTTTTTTTTAACCACAGCTTTTCCGTCCACTAAACATTCCATGAATATACAAGAAAAGATAACACTTTGAAAGGCTGGTTTCTTTTTGTGACAGTCTCGCTAACATTGCATCAGACATTCTTCCTTCAGGTAGAATCAACATTTTCGGAACAACTGTTTTTTTTTTTTTTTTGTTATGCTTTGATTCCTGATTTACGCCAGGAATCATAGGTGTAAATCCCAGAGGGGTCAGGGGAGTCCGCGCGTCCCTTTTTATGTATTATTGTTTTATTCTTTGCCTTTTATTCTGTCGAAAAAATCACCTAAAAGCAACCACTTTCATTTGAGTTTTATTGTGAAACTCAGGAACGGAAGTTTGAGAAGAGGAGTCATTGGCGCTCGCTTGTCGCGTGGAGCGAAGTAGAAAACGGACTGTCGCTAGAGAGCAGAGGAGAGAGGTGAAAAGAAACCAGGAAAGAAAGAGGAGCGAAACAGGGGCGAACAATGGTGTAAACGCAAACCGGTCCGAGTCGAGTCTGGAGGGGACAGCCGCGGAGGAGCGTCGCTGGAGGCTCTAGTTGGCTCCGGAGTCACTGTTAGAAGTCCGAAAACTCCCGCTTTTTGATGCTGTCCTCACGGAGGTCTGAGCCAATAACGGACTTATTGGTCGGCTGAACCATGCAGAGGCTGCTGCTCCTGAGTTTGGCGTTCAGTCTCCACACGGGTAAGACAGTATTTACATTGACTCTGTGGTCATGGTGATAACAGGATGTTCCAGTTTAATAATTCACTGTCACATTCTGAAGCCTCGACTGACCTGTCCGTCCTGGGTGGGGGGAGGGGGGAGGGATGAGGAGGTGTTGGGGGCGTGATGTGTGATATTTCATAGTATTCCATGTAGGCGTCGCAGCGATGGATCACCTTAGGCGCGTGACTGCGCGCGCTCGCGCGGGCCAGTCCGAGCAAGGATGTTGAACTTT